ATTCAAATATTTTCGCTTCGAAATGCGCGGGTGCATCTTGAACTCCACAATTTGATGCACTTCCCATGCAACAGTGGCATTAAGAACCCAGTCTGCATTACAGTCTCGATTTACAACCCTCTTGCACGCAGATGAGGGCGAACCCCAGTGCCTGGCACGCTCCAAAAACCCCAATGCACAAGGATTTCCCGGCGTCAAAAACACGACACTCTTTTCCGTTTGGAGAAAATAATAAATCTTGAGAGCAACTTATCTCCGCGGTAAATTCAATTGACTAAATTTAACGTCAAATTTTTATTCTCCAAAGAGGGGAGGATACACGCGTCTCATAAACTCCGAAACTGGGTAAGTAGAAAGGAGACACCTCATCTTATTGTCGTACGACAAATCCGACACGTGTTTGTAGGAGGCTCTATCGGTCTTCGGGTACCTCCTCACATAGTTTCCTCCTCCCTCCTCCTTCATAGCACGTACTCTAACCTAATACAAAGTTTCCATCCTGGGAAAGGGGTTTTGCTCCTGAGGACACACAATGTTCATCCTACAGGGAAAAGGTGGTTGGGTACATCCTTTTCGACAAGGCGCTTGGATTGTTCGCGGGGGAGACCAACTCTCGTTATCCCTCGATAAACACGGGGTCCGCTGCTCTTGGAGGAAAACCGAGTGGAAGATATAAGATATAAGATGTTCCCTCTAGGTTCGCATGTGCTCAGTATTCAATCCCTTATGCTTGATTTTTATTCATTGGGTTGAATGAATCCTGCTGCATCTTGCAATTGATCGACAGAATCGGGATTGGAATTTTATTTAAAAAATTTTGTTACGACAATGTAATTGAAAGACTTCTCTGATACTGTTGAAAGTCAGTGGAGTTTCGAGATGATAAGACGAGATGAAAATAGAAAATTTCATTGACAGAATCCCTTGAGACTTTAGTAACTATTTTTACTCCCTGATTTTAACCGATTACAGCGCAGTATTCGAGGAATCGTGGTTTATTTGCCACAGATTCAGCCACAATGCCAACTCACTCTACTTCCGCAATTCCGAGTCGGAGTTTCTTCATTGGAATCCCATGTACACTGGGACCCACACCGAACTTCGAAACTCGGGGAATTCCCTGCGACTCTAGTTAACCGAATTCATCGATAAATAAATCATCATTTCTAATTGAATGGAGTCGACGGAATAAATCCAGAGAAGTTCCAAAATCATTAATGAAACAATAGTTAATGAGAATCCCTTCAGAAAATTGAAGTTCGTTGATAAAATGTTACTCTCACCCTTTTTTTAAAACAAAATTAGCGAATAAAAAATTCTTTAGAACGTTAAATGATTGCTAAACGCTAGGATAAATATCACCGCTTGGAAGGTTTCCTGAAAGAAATGTCCACGAATTAAATTGGTCGTGCCAGGAGGAAGGGATTGACATACGCGGTGAAATGAGCTTACATACGATATGTTGATACATCAAGTGTTTGCCCAGATATATGGATACATAGAGCGTAGGTACTGGCGTTACATCAATGGTAATTCGAATCACCACCGGGTGCATCGTGGGTCTGACCTCCATCAACCAATACCACTAGAGGCAATGGTGTACGAAGTAGAAATCTTGTTTGAATTGGAGATGTAGGGTTTACCTCTTCAGTAGACTGGCAATAAATGGCATAGAGGAGACGTAAGCGAATAAGTAGCTTGCTCATGGCATCAGCACAAGCTGTCCTCTCCAATATCCTCCACCTACCTTCAGTTTTCTTCCTGGAAACGAAAAACTCGAGCTGAAAACGCTCATTTCAGGGTGAAGGGTGTGAGTGGATGGGATCAAACATATTGATTCTTCGCTATCACATGCATTCAATTTGACTGCGAGGGATATTCATAAGGAAAGGATAGCTCTGTCAACAACCTGTAGATCCACCGGATAAATTGTTCAAAATATCACCCCAACATCGTCTCGAATGGCATAACGTGGGTAAAATCTATCCAGTCTATCCAATCTATCCAATTACATCAACGTGAATTTTGGTGCGAGTGGAGGGAAAATAATCTGCAAACACAATTGGGATCTCGGGATTTATTGCTGGAATTTGATCCCTCTGAATCATGTCTTTGCATGTTGTTTGGTATCAGTGAGCCATCTCGGCCAGCCGGTAAGTTCCCATGAATACCTTTTTACCGTAATCCTTCATCCATGGAATGTGGATGATGAAATTTTCAGACAGATTTACCAATTTTCTGCGGAAGAAATTGGCGAATTGCTGAGCATTCAAGCTTTACTACATCTGCACCTGAGATATGTATTTCACTGTAATATTTCAGCTTCTGGGGATGATCCGGTGCATACATATACCGACCGCATTACAATTTTGTTGAATTTCAGGGGCTTAAAGCGGTGCTAGCATTTTCCGACGAGGGTGAAAGAAGCCCTCGATTATCTCTTGGAGCTCGAACCTCCGTAATGGATGCGCTAAAAACTAAATGCACATTTATGCTCACCTAAATACCTCAGCTCTATCTGATATCTTGACTCTTTTTCCGCGATCAAAGGGAATGCCTTCCGCCTCTTATAAAACTCTGAGCTTTGAATATGGACCAAAGGAAAGATAAACCGGCCACTTTTATATAACGACGACAAAAGCGCGCAAATGACCGCTGGATTCGCGCACTACTGACAGCGGAGTTGAGGCTCGTTAACGGATTTTTTTTTTTTTAATTACCATGTCAAGAGAAAATCACTCGATAAGCAAAGTCAAAGCAAGTCACTGCGTTGATTAAATCAAGTTCTCCTTGCTGATTTCACAATTAAATGTGAACTTTTCAACACTTTTCTTCGTGGCAATACTCCACTAAAAATGTTTACATTGAAATAATCGTTGTAAATCAAATGAATTCATGTACTCCTGTGGTTTGGAGTTTTAATTTTTTAGTTATTTAAATTGCATTTCTTCGCACGTATTTCACGTGTCTTAATTACGAGAAAGAGACCAAGTAAGAACTCTCAACAGTACTTTCTCACTTCTGGATAACAACACGAGTGCGCACTTGCTTTGGACAAGTATCATCCAGGTTGTACATTCATATGAGCACCGAGAATCCTCGGAAAACTCTTGCTCGTACAATAACACTTGGAGTGTATGTACATCAGGGCTCCTTCATGTACGAGCAATGAACTGTGAAACGTTACCTCATACCGGTACCTCTCTTTCGCCAACACCTTCGAAAACTCTGTACCCCTCTCCTTCCAATAACTGTACAAGTTTGAAGTGCACGCGAACACGTCAGTCCAAACTTGAAATTGAGTTGTCATCCACTCGTAGAAAGTTGCCCTCATAATGTAGAGCTGTGGAGTATTATCGGAAAACTATTACGAATCGCAAGTATAATGGATGATATTATTAGTCGACAGTGATTGACTGTCGATATCCTTTGGTATGATTTGAATTTTCCTCTTATTTTAATCCAATTTACATTTTCTTTACTTAATGCGCTGTACTATTTTATCGTCTTCAGCAAGTGTTGGAATATTGAAATGATAAATTACTCCCAGAAAAAGGACTAGTTTACAATCCTTTGTTTTTCACTTTTTACAATGGTTTGACTTTTAAACCTTATTTTTTATTCTTAGTTTTTCCAGTTAGAATTTTTCCTTTTGTGGTCATAGCCAGCCCTTCGAGAACTCTTCTCTCGTAAAGACGTGTCTGTCTCGGTCAATGAAGAATACCTTATCAAGTGTTATACTACTTCTTAAAAATGATTTATTCACATGCACATGCACCCATATTTGAAAATATTGAAGCATTAATGTTAAATTCCATGGATACCTGAATTAATTAATGCAAACACAACAAAGGGAGCGAACAACAAAGAAATCGCCATAATATCTGTGACAACTAAAACATTCTTTTTGCAGAAAGACTCAGCCACTATCAGATTAAATTGTCACTTCTCATTTAAACAAATATGAACTCCGACTGTAAGTAGAGCCTGTAACAGGAATTTATTTCCAATAAAAAAAAGAATGATGAAACATTAAGTGGATCAGTGGAAGCGGGCTTGCCAGTATCGTTTACGTAGAATGTCGGTGTAATATTCTTTTGATCGGAAATCCAATATTTTTCCCTGTTTCCCAGTCATTAGCTTCCCATCTCGACAGGGCATTACAGTTATCCATCCCTTTCCCTGAGCTCACGGTATCGCACACCAGACGAATTGCCGAGTCTACCCTGTATATTCGTTTATTCATCCGTATAGATATATTTATTCATCCGTACATGAGATATATAAACCTATACATCATACCGTCTGTCGAGGCTCAGCTCCATACTCACTGAAAGTTTCACGTCATCCGCGATTCAAGAAGAGCGAGATACGCAGCGATGGTTTTACGATATCCAGACTGACACCCTGAGGTTCCGTGCCTTCGTGACTAATCGCGTTCAATTTCTGTCGGAAGCATTAAACTTTTCACGTTAAAACGTACACCACTAGCTCAATGTGCAGCAACTCTCAGTGGTAAGGGGTGTTATGTACCATGTCGAGAATCTATGGGTCGCGCTTCATTTAAAAACTTTACACTCGATAACTCTCTTATCCAATTTTGCCCACCTGCAAAGAGCCCGGGTCTATCATTCATATCTCAGTGACGTATTCATTGAGGAGGGAAGACTAACACCAGCATAATTCGATTACCAATAGGGGGTTAGTCTTTACAATATCCAACCTGGGCTTTTACCCTCATCCACATCCCGAGGTAAATTTGAGAATTATTCCCAGGCAAAAGGGCAGATTCACTAAAACCCTTTAGATTTGTTCAGCTGAAATGTCCCAACTGGTTTACCAAAATTTTTATTTCAAAATGTGAAATAAAATGTCAAGTGCATGTTGTACGTTTCGTAGTTGAAATAATGAGAGAAAAATGAGAAAATATCGTCAGCACTAATTGATGGCAGTATCAATAAATTACTGTCCTCTCATGATGAATGTTTTTGTCATTCCAGAGGGAAGAATTTTAGAGCTTCATTCACCCGATGGCGTTCACGAGTGCTGGCTAAGAGCATCTGACAATGCTGAAGCGAATGTGTGGTTCAATGCACTTCACTCAGCACTAGCAGCTCTCACACTCAAAGCCCTGAGGCTTGCATCTGCACTACCAGATCCTCCACAGCTTCAACACATTGGATGGCTCGCCAGGCGACACTGTGTTCAGGTAAAATTCCCTCCTTTATTTTAAATCATCCCAAGTGCATGGAAACCATCCGAAGCACTCACACTACTTACCAATAATGACGGCGAAAATTCTTCCCGAGATTTGTAATAACGAGTCCAATCGAATAAAAAAGCATCATAATTTTTTATGGATTCATCTCAAAGTAATGATATAATGATAATAACTGAATTAATTAGGTAACATAATTCTATCAGTGCAGTTCGGTGGTAAGTCATTTGACAATTAAGTGGTGGTAACGAGATTTCTAGGTAATATCGAATGCCCTGCAATTGTGTGGCTTGATTGACGAATAGACTTGGTGATTGTCATGGCTATGGTGTCCTGTAGCCTCTCACATAATCCCTAGCCTGCTGTGAATATTAGCAGGTCGTCAACTCACTATGGTATGGGACCGGCGGAGAAATGTGGTATTTACGGTCTAATCCGTGGGAACAATTCCATGATGAAACCCTCTTGATGACATCCTGACGTTCGTTTGGTTTACATTATTCTAATTGGTTTTGTGGCATTGAGTATTACAGGCGATGAATGTAATTGGAATTACGATCATGCAAATATTCGAGTAGCTTCTTTTTTCGTAAACCTTTCTGCATTTATTTCTGCCAAATTGACTTTTCTCGTTTCATCTGGAAATTTAATCAAACTGGGAGAATAATGGATTATCTAAAATTGTGATTCAGACTGATTAGAAATTTGAGTGTCTCGCTCAAAATGTAATTGAATCTGGACATATCACATTCGGAAAATCGTCTTCCGAATAATGGTATTAATGATGTAAAATTATATTTTATCAGCGGAGTGCAATAAGATTTCATGACCCAGTTATAGAAATGCTCTCCCTTTAGAGCAGGGAGCAACGGATTGTGGAAAGGGATTGGGGTGTGTCAGGTGCAAGGGTTCATGAATGTGGTTGACCGTACAAGGTGAGAATCGATAACTGATATATCAAGTGGGACCCCCTGGTTATCATCGTATTGATAAAGGACTCGTCTCTCCATCCCCCATCCCTACCACATGGGTGAAGAGGCTGAGGGTGACTGTACCATTCGCACATAATTGATTGGCATTTGCCCACCTGATTGCTGGTACCCATGGACACGATCCTAATTCGAGCGGCATCCTTTATGATGTGCATTTAGTATCACAGTTTCTCTGATAATTGGACGTATACACGGTGTGAGTATCATTATTATCTTCAATAGTGTTGTGATTCCTAATGAGAGGGTTCTAATTTCCGTTCAATGTGCCATCACCCATTGCTGGTAATTACAAATATTGAGCTCATTCATTCGACTCAGGCTTTTACTTCTATTTTTTATTTTTTTTTTGTCACCTGATCAATCCATCTGGATTATGTTTACGATTCATCAAAAATTGCTCTTCTGTTTCTGAAATTCTGACGAGAGTCATTTCAACTTGTCTAGTTTAGTTCGAGCTTCAATCATCCTTGTCATGTCGTATTTCCTGGTCTGTTCTGAACAGAATCAAATTGAGTTTCGCTCACATATACGAAATATCATGACTACCGATGGATTTTGATGATATCAAATCATGGTCCTGACTGTACAATTTTGAAATGATTATTTGCTTTGATTTTTGTCGTGCATAGTTGAGGTAAATGTATTAATTAGTGATGAAATTGTTTGTCTGATAATTTCCATAGAGGGATAACACATTTTTGAGAACGTGAGAAAATTGTGAAATTTTAATTTCTTCAGGATGTTGTGTCCCCTATTTTCCGGATGCTTGGGTAAAAAGACGAAATGATTTAAGCTATGATTTGAATAAAACATTTACCACGTATGTAATTTTCATATTTTTCTCTCGTAAGCCCACGAAGAACTCAGCACTCGTTGGAATATACTACATTATGTATCAGCAAGTAAAATCGTAACTTCCGAAACGACCTTGTTCCTCCCAGAAAACTTTAAACTTCCTCCCCCAGGAATACATGGAATTAAAGGTTTCAGTTGTATGCAGTTCCACTGGGAATTGTCTCACACACTCGAGTGTCCATGTTTTCCATTTTTCTTGCTTGATCATCCTGAGAATAACTGATCCACAATCCCTCGCTTCCGGCGGATAATACTTGCAATTAGGCTAATCAATAATCCTCACGTGTTCCACACCAGTGGAAATTTTCCGAAATTGGTAATGAATTGATGTCGATTGATCCCTCTGACACGAGAAGAATGTTACAAATGCCACATGTTGCGCCGATGAATCCCGAGAGCCGGCATAATCGAAATGTTAATCGATCACGCCAGAAGGCTCATCCTGCCCCGAAACTGATGGACCATCGTGTGGTAATTGAACGAGGGTAAAATCAGACAGCAGGATATACACCACCGACCAGCCAACGACATTAAGGTCCTGAGGCAACATCCGTTACCCTATACATGTAAACCTCGTGGAGGGGTTCACTCGATACCCGAGAATTTGGTACTTTCCTTGGGACAGGACCATCTCAATATCCCAAGCCCTCGGGTGCCTCATCCCTGTGACCTCATCCTCGACCTTAGGCACCACCATCACCATTAAGTTCAACTATTATTGTAATTGAATGCAATGCAGACTCAAATATCCAACGCTAGGAGAAACGAGAGGGGTTTAGGATACGGAAAGGGTTTGAGGCTGGAGAGAACGAGAGATAGAGAGAGGAAAAGCCGCAGGGTAGATACCTGGTGTCCATTAATCATGCACCGTTATCGGGACAGGGACGAACTGTTCCGTCGTGTGTGAAATTGAATGGATAGAAGTGTTCGTACCATATACGTAATATGGTGCATGTCTCACGCGGAAACAACAGTTCAGTTTTGCACCAGTGCCACTGCCATCACCATTCCCTTCGTTCTCTTGTCCATCCTTTTGCCAAATCCATTTCACCATCGGCACAACGATTTTCATGGGATTACTCCGTGGTAACAAAGGCGTAATAGAGGATGGGCCTTCAAAATTTCGTAGCTATTTGTTCTGTACTGAGAGAACCAGAGTGATTATTTGGGCTTATCGCCGCCATCGGCATTAATGTTCTGCATTAGGATTGATGGAATGATTTTTAGAATGAAGCGTAATGGACGCTGAGTGAGATTTAGCAGACGGAAATGCCTTCATCTACCAGCGAATAACCGAGTAATTACAGGGGTGGCGTGGGAATTGATAATTTACTGGCAAATATTAGTGTGGACACGGCGCCTTCATCATCTTGGTTAAAGGCTGTATGAATGTATGGGGGCAGTGATAACCATCACTGGTTAGCTGTCCTGTTGGTGTTGGTGGTGGTATCTAAAGTGGGGATAGTGCATCAGCAATGCTAAGTAAACTATGGGGTGAATCCCTTTTCCATTCCCGGCCCCTCGACCTTACTGATGGATTGACGAGGTTATCTGGAGTAGAATGTATGCAGAAGTTTGATAGAAGTAGCTGAGAGAGAGGCTTTTGTAAGTAGCTCACGTTGGCATCCATATACCACTGTACACACTGGCTATATACCTTCATATATTTGTGTACATGGGCTCATACATGGGATCTAGTCAACTGTGTAACCAGACAAGGAATTGGGGGGAGAGAGGGGGGCGATGTGCGTCTCGCAGCCGGATAAATACGAACGATGCTCAAGCATATTGATTTTGGGATGGGTTTTCAAGGAAATAGCCGGAGGTCTTTTATTACCCTTTGGGCTCGACCTATCAGCGATCAATTGGCCTATGTTTGATCAGTGTTTTCCACCACTGGCTTTGAGATTCACCCCCGGCCGATTTGCGGTTTTCTTATTAACCGCAAATATTTTCTCTCTCTATATGCGTTTTAACGGGTTTTCAACAGCTGATAAAGGGACGCCTTGATTACGTCAGTTGCTGACGGGCCATAGTCCATGCTGATGATCATGTGGATTCAATGAATAATTTTATTTACATCCTGCAAAATCAACTTTTTCTCGTTCTGGTTGATAAAATTGAATTAGCAATGAGTTGGGTTGTTTCTTGTTTGGAAATTTTTATGTGGCTTGAATGACTCATTGTTTATTTGTTATTAACTCGGGAACATTATTTCGACAATTGGTCTGAGTGTAGTGTGGAATATAGCTCTGTTTTAACGCGTTGCAAGGCGCGTTGAAATGTCTGACGAAATTCACAAAGTGAATTGCAAATACAGTCTGTATTTTCGACGAAGATTTATAAAATCATCAAGAATTCCTATTATTCAACATTGCACAGAGAAAACTCATTTACTAGGGGCACAAAGTCCTTGGAACTCGTATTAATCACAAAGTAGATTTTTTTTCCTGATAAAAAACAATCAGATCATTATCTTTTTCGATCAATAGAGAAATATTTTTTAAATATCATTTTTTCTCTCAAGGTAGTTATAATTTTTTAATACCTAAACTCATGACCAATCGATTCCATCATGAAAGAGCCCCGTCACTGGAGATTTCAACAATTCCTATCGTGCATCCATAAAAAAAAAACATAAAAAAGAAGTAAACTGCTGAAAATGAAAAATTCGATTGGAAATCTGCGAATCTCTTCAGTAAAGTGACCCTTCTTTACGTTTTAGTACGAAAAATACGGACAAGCTTTTGATTTCGAGGATTTGCTCACCGATTTGTGCCCAACTAGTGATTGCTAAAATTTAATTCATAAATCGTTGTTATACCCCATCGCATTACGAGTTTTTCCAAGCTGACGCTCATTTGCGGGGGGAATGAAGAGTCCAAAAACGTTGGTTGGACGATAATATTCCACCGAGGGCAGGGAAAGTGGAGAAATGTGATTGAGGCCATCGTGTCGTTTACTGTCCTCTTGGCTTTTACGGTCATCCACAAAAATTCAACCTCTTTGGATATTTTTTTTACAACCCTTCCGCTCGGCGCGCTTTATATCATCATCCACCTAGAGCTTTGTGCATATCCAGATAACCGTAAAAATTGTAATTATGCACTGCCTGTTGGTATTTTGTTTCTCGCCATTGTCAAAACAATTTATTCCTCGGCTGATAACAATTCACGAAGAAAAAATCTCGTTTTACACTTCTTTTAACTCCGGAAACAGATTGAAAGAGCGAATACAAGTTGGAGATAAAGTTGAAGAGAATATTGCATGAAGAAATTTCTCAAGTCCTTTATCAAGCCAATGGAAAAATATTATTAACTGTTATTAAGATGTACAGCCACCATTGGCGGAAGTTTTGTATGGAGGGGTTGGGGATTGGAGAAAAATGTATCGTTTGGTGCAGGAGCTCTGTGGTGGCTCGGTGTGGATCGATGTTAACGATTTCTCTCTGATGCTTTAAATTTTCCGCACCCCACTTTCATTCAACCCTCTGCGGGGTGAATTCTGAATTTCCCGCTCATGTGCAAAAGATAAAACAGCGTGAGGGGCACACCAATCCCTCTCTCTCTCTCATGGATATAAACCTGAAATGCGTACTTCATCTTGGCTTTTTTATTCCATCATACCTCTTCCTTTTTTATTATTATTATTCCAGGCTGGTGGCTGACGTCAAAATTTATATTTACGTAATTAAACCGAACGAAAGCCCGTCAACATGCCCCTCACTCACGGCTTTACTGCACATGAAAAAAAAGAAAAAACTCATGAAAAATAGCATACGGATCGTAATAAACAGATAATTAACTCCTTCTTTTTCTGATGTATTTTTTAATTTATCAGTTTGTCCCTCAAATTCCATTATTTCACCAAATTCATATATCGCCCGAAATACGGACATCCGACAATCGTTTCGAACTAGTCGGCAATAAATGTTCCATCTACTGTTAGAATCGGTATTTCGCCAATCTGTACCGAATGCATCAGCGTTACGCGACAATAGATCTCGTAAACTACACGCAGGGTACTTCGGAAAAATATGATTTGTCGATTTCATACGTCTATGTATACTCTGGGAAGCGCAAAAAAAAAATCGTGGAAAAATCGAATTGAGTCTAGGCGAAATTGAGGAGCGAGTGGCTGGATTCGACGAAATATATTTTTTTTTCAATGATAAAAACAAACAATCCATAAAGCTCCGACAGCAGGCTCAAATATTTTGAATATCTATATTTTCCAGAAAACAATATAAAGTATTTTTAGTAGTGCGATTTAACAGAATTGTTAATTTATTTTTAGAATGGTCGGGCTAGCAGTGAAAGCAGTGAAGATGGTGCAGGGAGTAGTGCGAGCATGTCAAGAGGAGCTGGAAGCAGTTATGGATGTGCTGGTGGATGGCGAAGTGTCTTTGGTGCTGTTTCTGGACGTGAATTGAGGCTGTATGAATGTGCACCCTGGAGCCCAGAGGCATGGGCGTCACCAAGTATCACGTGTCCACTCATCGCGACCAGGTGAGAAACTTTCTTTTTATCCATTTTTTGTCTCATCTTCATTCTACTCCTCCTTTCACTCTTCGCCTTTAATTAAAAAAACAATAGTCCAGCGCTCGAGGCGAGAGACCGTTCCTTTGACCGTACCCTCTCATATTGTTTGCCACCCTCTAAAGTCAACCTTTCCCGGACTCGGGTGACTATAATCTCTTCTAATAGAATGGAAAGATTCCGAGAATCTCACAATAATTGTTCATCAACTGCTAATCAATCTCACCACTAAACATCCATCCTCATTTATTTCACTTGTCAAAATTTTCATTCAATACCAGTAAATAACCATATAAATGGAATAATAAATTCACCGGAAACATGAAAATAATTTACGCTAAAAGTCAGATAGGCACATGTCACCGTAGACATTTCCGAGCACAATTCAATAAAATTCCAATCCGTCAGCATAAAAAGGTGCATTAAACGAATAAATAAATGAATAAACAACGGAATTGCATTAAAAGTCACGTGGAGAGTGAATTGAATTGCAAAAAAATGCAAAGGATATTCATAAAAAAAAAATATATATTAACAATGCACAAAAATCGAGGGAATATGGGAATTTATCCAGATATCAAACAATGGCAATCCCCTGGCTCACCCTTGGCATTATCCACGGCAGGCATAAAACGTGTTTCGCACGCGTCCAACAGATTTCCACATTGGACACCCTCTGCGTTGGCACTGGTATGTGGGGTAGGAGTTGTACATCGGATTACCAATGAGGCGGCAGAAGCCCGGGCTGCCGACGGTACGCAGTGGCCTCTCTCAGCTGTCCACTCCCTCCCTCACAGCCCGTTGGATTACGGCAGTTAGCGATGTTCGTTAGACCGCCATTTTAATTAAGACTATTACATCCACGTAGACATTAGTAAACGCGGTGCGGATACCAACAGCGATTACGTGCACAGACATCCTAATCTCCCGGTGGATGTACCGCTCTCATTTGTTGTCGTTATACACCCCGTCCTAAAATATTGCATGTGAATGTTTCATTTTACATCCCTTTCCCCCGCCCCCAACCGGAAACGTAAAGCGTAATGAACAGCCGTCGGTTTTTTTTTTTGCTCGTTTATTCGTTTATTCTTTTTACGTTCAACATGTTAAAAAGGGAGAGTAATAATCAAGTTACGTGGAACATTCATGACATCTGCTGTGTAAGCAGCCAGGGACAATGATTTATGTAACAATACGACTTTTATCGGAAAGTGTAATTGAAGTTATAGTGGATCGAAATGTTTCAAGAATCTTCAAGAGATCGAAGAAGAAAAAACCCAGACGCTGGGCATTTCCACGACAGTTGCCCTGAGAAAGCCAGATAAATACTGAAAATCGCAATAAAGACTCGGTTGAATTTCCCCGATTTTTTCACTCAATCGTATGGAGACGAAATCAATAAAGTCTTCCCCGACGGCAGTATCGACAAAGGAATGAATGAAACGGCTGTTGCATTTATTCCTCTGTGAGAAGCCGTAAATCCATCGCTTCAACGTCCACCCGTTGTCCGCAATTTTCACTCCTCCCTCTTTCGTCATTACCATCGTAACAATGACCCCGTAGCAATTGTAATAGTGACACTTAACGCATTGAATTCCTTAATTGCCGGCTGAAATAATGCAATATGCGACGTGTACAAGAGTAGCGTGACTCGCCTCAACGGCATGCAACGATTCAAGTCCTCCCCGTTATACATATGTATACAGTTATACGTCAGGTACATCGGAGTGATGGGGGTCGGGTGACGATTAATCGGTTCGTCTGATGTTAATTAACGAGGTACTGCTCGTAAAAGTTAAGGACCGTGACCAGACGACCTTCTCAGCCCTTAGTGAGATGCGCGTATAGTCTTGATATGCAGGGGTTAGCCACTGATAGACCAACACTGGTTGGGGGTTGACCAAGTGGGTGGAAAGGGATGAAGGGTTATTTCTCCACTATTGCAGGTGTAATGTGTGTAAGTTGGTGCAGGTGAGGTGCAGCGGATTTCAAGGGACTTGCGTACAGCAATGGAGTGGCCCAAGGAAAGGGGATGGAGAGGAGTGAAAGGGGAGGTCATACTGTTCTTCGCTCAGCAAGAGCCACAGCTTATAACCTGGCCCAGGCAAGGCTGCGGGGAACACTCCAACCGAGCAAGTGGGAAGGGCGATTCTCGGTTAATTAATAGCAAGTGATTAATCGTCAGATCCGGTCTACCCTCGTCAAACAAACCTCCGAGCACTGCTCCGAGCTTGTACGTGATCTGCAAATACGAGCGACTAGTACACCTCTTGGTTTTAGCCCAGGTGTACTGTGGATGGTTTACCCTGTCTTCGTCTTTGGCGGGTTCTTCCTTCCAGCGCTGTATCCACACACGTCGGTGGCTACGAGCTTCCACTAATTTGTGAAACTCCTCTCTCATCATTCCACTTGCAGCAATCTTTGGTGATGGGGATTTCTTGTTTGTCGAGGTTTGACATTTTCGAGGCCAAGCTGTTTGACATCCTCTGAATATTTTTCTTTCTTTCAGCATCGAGTGGTTCTTGTAATCTAAGATATTTATTACACTTCCTTCTTATTTTCCTTTTTGAGGGGATGATTGCATTGAACGGATGTTTCGCTTTGCACTTGTCCCAGCCTCTGCTGGGGTTCAAGAACACTCGAAAGAATTTCCCTTTCGAATTTTTCGGGTTGCCACGTACGCTATATGCCATTACCTGTCGATTTCCCTAGTGTACGAGTGCGCCCTAATAAACTTTGAGAATTCTGAGTGTCCGAGATACGATCCCGAGGGGCCGTCGCACTGCACTGCCCAAGACAATTCAGATGAGCCAACGATCTCCGATTAATTTACATGCGGATGATGTCACGTATCTAACGCCTTCAACTCCATTCCTTCTGTCCCAGAAGGAATGGAATGAATACAAAAAATACCCCTTTTCTGTTGTTCGAAGAAACTTATTGTGACTTTTACACGTTCCGGCTAAAAAAAAATAAAAATTGCAAGGATAACAATTAATTGCTTTGGAGAATAACTATTATGAATAATTTTTATGTTAAATCTTCATTGAGTCTCTTAAATCGCCTTGAGATGCATTCAAATAGCGGATTAGCTGCTGGAGATCATTTTGCTGTTCGAGTTTGAGAAAAAAATCATTGCAATTTGTCACTGTTGCGAGGAAGTGGAGGAGCACTTCGTTATTCATAAATACAGAAGCGAGCGTGGGTTCAACTGACGTCTGTCTCTGACAAAGAAGAATTTAAATGAGCCACGGTACTGATAACAGGATATTTATAGGGTTTTGAGTCCTGGGGGGAGCTTTCCGTAATGAAGAAAAGATGCCAAGTGTTATCATCGGGCATGGGGAGATGCGTATCGAGTCACATGAAATGTTCATTGCATTCTCTCATTCTCAAGTTATTTTGCCCAGAGGGAATTGGAGAAGAATCTTTATTTGATGACTTTCTGTGTCTTGAAGAAGAATACGGAAGAATAAAGAAGACTCTGCATAACAAAATGAAATTGCATGAGAAATTTGGAGAATTCCTCTGTTAGAAAAAAATTAAATTTCATCGATAGTTGACTTTTAGGTATGAGGAAATTAAAGTCATGAAATTTCATATTTCAGTACAAAATTCAGTGAAATTGGAGAATTTTTAAGGACATGGGGATGAGAATCCTTTAATCTATTTGAATTGACAATTCAATAAGACCATTCGGTATTAAATTACATCGCGATTTTCCACTTCAATCTTAATCAGTACCACTGTTGGTAAAATTTAAATCAGTATTGATTAGAATTTTCTGGTTCTCTGTTAATTTCCGGAGGCAAGTAGAACGAAAATCTACTGTTTTATTTAATTTATCCACGAAATCCTGAATTTTCAATGCCAACATGTTCCCAAGCTTCAGTAAAATTGCACCTCGGAAAATGCAGACGAATTTTTTTAACCGTGTACCTCAGCGGAGAATGAATTAGGAAGAGAATCATTTCAATTCTGATATTTAGGAATTTTAATTCAAGAGCTTACCTTCAATTGCAAGATTAAACTCTCCATTTTATCCCAACTTAATTTTATCTACCTCTTCCTCAATAAATTACATTTCCGGGGCATTTATCTTCATGAGTTACTCTGCAATTCGGAAATTATTTATGATACCCTGAGACCATAAACCAAGTGCTCCTTTATTTTTCAAGGAAAAACTTGGGGATTAATTGAAATTCGTTTAATTACTCTGTTGGAATCATGCATGAGGATCGAGATAATGATGCTCGATGGAGACTTTAGAATATGGAGGTAGTTGTTGACTGGTGGATTGCGTGGAATCTCTAGGCCCTTCCATTAAACCAAATGACTGTTTCGTTCATTACTGAGGGATAACCCAGTGATAAATAAAAATCGTTCAACTGTGAAATTCCCTTCAACTCAGGGGTCATTCCCTTCAACCACCTCAGACGTTTCATTCTCACATAGGGGTGCACTGACAATCCCAAATTATAATATCCCACTCGAAATTCCAATTTATCCTAAAAAAAAAAACCTGTGCTCGCCATTTTCCGAATTCACAATTCACGAATTTTCGATATCACCAAAAAAATTATCATTGAATCGTAAATTTCTCCAGAGAATTGCCAACATTTTTACCTTTTTTTCTCTACGTTTTTGATTTTTTATGGAGTAGTTGAGCTTGCGATGAATTACAAAATTCCGCGAATGGTAATAAAAAAAAAATGACAAAGTTCGATTAGAATTTGAAAGTTGATTGGATTTAGGGACAGACCTATTCTGGAATACTCGACAAATTTTTTCGACACAGTGAAAAAAATATTTTCCCTTTATTTGTTTTATCTGCAACCGATGTTTCCGCGGCCTCTGCTTCAGTATCGAAATCAGCAACCTGTGGACACAAACTCCACCACTTTGTGTCTATATGGTGGAATCCCTCGTTGCTCTCACCCCCTGGTACATTGCACAACGGTCGTTAAATACTGCCTGGGATCTGCTTCACGATTATTAAAAAATTTTCACACTCATTCGCGTTATTGCGCCGTTAGCCGTCGCAACGTAAATTTATTTTCATTTCGCTTTCAATCTCCATTAGATATTACGACACCAAAAACGAGTTGCACAGCCATTTTTTTTTTGTTTTCTCCGATGGTTTTTTACTTTTTCAAATGTCGGCTGAGAGAATTATTAGCAACGAAGTATTATCGCACCTGAAATTATTGGATCAATGAAAAATTCCTCCAAACTACTCCCGGGAAAACCAAATCAATTCAGAAAATAATTTTCTGCTAGAAATCGTGCACTACATGGTGCAATACATCGCATCCATCGTTATTGATTTACGTTTTTAACTTTTTTTGTTCTAAAAATCTATAAATAATAAAAAATCAGATTCAGGAAACCTCCGATAATCATTTCGAATTTATCAGTGCACTCGTAAGCGTAATTGAGGAATTCCGACAGAGTTACAGAATTCATACCAGTTATGCAACCTTTACATGACTTAGATAATTGAAAATCCATGTCTCTCTCCATTCGTGACTATTCATAGCAGCTCGGCGTCGCAACTTTTACTATCATTAATTCGACGACTCGAGTACAAGTTGAATGCCTCCTTCCACCGTATCTCTCAATAAATCAAAGAGCAGTGAATAATTGTTACACTCAAAATGTTAAAATTACCACCTTCTGGCCCCCCGAACCACTAACTCGATTACGATAGCCGATTGAGCTCGAGGAATAGAAAGCACACGAGATGAGATCTTTCTTGTGAATACGGTTTCATTGGGAATGCATACTGCCGTTATCTCCATGTACATGAGGGCTCATACAAATACCAGGAGGAATAACAAGTTTATTGGCCGAGCTCCAGAGGGACTACTCAAGCTCAATCGCTCTCCACGGGCCTCGTACATTACCCTTCACACTCGCACAACCGGTGATTTTACCAACTAAATTCCGTGCACAACGGATCCAAATCTTTTTCCATTTATCTCACTCTTTTTTTTTCACATGTGTGTCTTTTTTTTATTTCAATACTTGATGGAGTGGTGAAAGCCCATGGGGCGGTTTTAATAGTCGAATAACGCTTTTTTTTCTTTTTACCCTTGTCTCTTCCAGACTGGTTTCATCACCAACGAGGAACAGCGAAGCGTCGAGCAGCAATTCAACGCTGCACGGTGCGACATTTGCTGTTCGTGTTGGCACTATAGACGGTGTTATTACGCATCACCTCAGGGCAGAGACGCGCAGAGATTTAGCTGCCTGGGCGAGGGCAATAGTTCAGGGATGTCACACAGCTGCTCAATCGATGCGTGAATACACAGTTCGTGAGTATTTTTTTTTTCCTTTTTTTCAATTCATTCTTCGCGCTTTTTACTGGGGCTTTTTAGCCAGTTGAAATGCATATTCTCGGGTACAAATGGGGTAATTGATGTTGCAGGATGCCTGTGGCAGAGTCGGCCCTGTCAGCTCATCGTCAATCATGAGGAGGGCTTCATGCTTTATGCAGCCAACACCAGAGGCGTTAATGGGGTCAGTCCTGGATCACCACCGGCACCACTTTGGAAGAGGTCGTTCGATAAACTCAGAATGTCCGCTGATGACGGCGCACGGCTCCTGTGGCTAGACTTTGGTGGTGATGATGGCGAGATGGTGAGTTTTCTTTTTCAAAATCACGACAATTTTGGTCATTTCATTCAATGTGCAAAACATAAACTGTGCAATTTATTAAAGTTATCTCGATAACTAACTCGATAGGCATGTGGTATCGGGAATTTATATAAACCTTTTCATGATTCTCTAGTTTCCATGCACGGAAACTCTGTTAATACAAGATAATATTTTCATTTTAGAATAAAAAAATACTCAGTTAATTCACACTTGAAATTCGTTCATTATTCGGTCGAGTGCCGCTACACTCATGTTTATTTACTGTCCCCTGGTCCGGAATTTTCCTCCGTCAAGTAAATATCCTCAACATTTCCTGAAATTCATTTTCAACACCCAGTATATGAGCACTAGGAAGCCTCGTCATCCGGGGGAAAAGTAAATATTTGTTGTCCAGGCGCTCGCAGGAGTCTTAGATAAAAATGTTCGAATGCACTCGACGAAAAGTTTATCCTCCCACCTTTTTGTAGATCCACTCTGGTAAACTAGCATTGAAATCGATTTATTTTTACCTCTGTTCGTCGTGACTGGAGAGGATGCCAGAGAGCAATAAGAAAAAGAAGCGAAAGGGGGGGGGGGATATAAAATCATTTGTATTTTTCTTGTTGTAGGAACTCGATCTTGAGAGCTGTCCAAAGCCAATTGTCTTTGTGCTTCACAATTTTCTCTCAGCGAAGATTCACCGATTGGGCTTGACCGCATAGGGGTACGAGGGGGCTTCGACGGAGGCCCCCGATCTACCACCCCACACCACTCGTTCCGTAACCAGTGTCTTTCTCCACTAGGAACACTTTACCTTCAGTTGAATGAGTGGGTGGCCTCTTCAATCATCCTCAGTTTATTCGATTGAGGATCAAGAGGATTGCATCTACAACGGGAAACGGGTAGGTCTGTCACATTCCAGAGGATCACACAATAAACATCAAACGATTTTTTAAAAAATTCCTCAACCTTTACCCAGAGCCAAGCCCAGTAACAAAAAAACAAAAACCAACGACATTAACTTAAGAAAGTAAATGGACTATCTGTAGACTTCACCAAGTGAATCCAACCAGATAAATGAAAATATGTAATGATTTATCGACTCGAAGCCATCCATGATTTCTACACTGAATTCTCCTGCATAACACTTCATTCCCATCACGAATCTACTCTTCCTAAGACAGTCATCAGGTCCACACGAGTGGAAATCGCTGACGACTTTGAGTGATTTGTCAGAGTGACTGAATAAATATCATAATAAAACTAAAGAGTTAAGGATAACTGAGATAAAGTGGGAAGATATGCAAGTTGTCTACTGTCTAATAATATAACGAGTTATTAACGAAATTAATGAAAAATATTGCCCATTTGCATATATACTATAAATAAATATATGAAGCAAGCGAGAATGAGAGGGAAATAACGAACGCGTTGAAATTGAACGAAATGAGGTAGAGATTATCAGGAGAATGGTGGTACTCAATTACACATTAATGGCTAATTTATAAATGTTAAAAATGTGCTGTAGCTCGCTGGTAACTAATCGCTCGGCTACTTGATTATTCAGCTACCCCCCCTTAACCTACCCCATCAATTTGGCCCCTCCTGGATGTTTCGAAGAATTGAGAGTGGAATTTTTCGGATAAATTAACTATCTAGAACCTCTAAATTACGAAAGACCTATTAGATATTCTTATGGAGTAGTAACAAGTAGTGATGTGAATAATTGAGCAAGCCGAGTTCAGGGCCAATTAGCCGAGTATAATTGAAACATTGACAGAAACAAAGGCTGATTAAAAACGCGCCCGACGTTTTCTCCGTTAATTGATTATGATTTTTTAAAGCGGTTTTTTGAATGAGGAATGGCACCTCGCGCTTATGACGATAAAAAAAGAAATTCCTCGAGGCACCAGCGATGCCAAAGCGCTCTAGTTGTTTTATACGGTTCGTATCCTTAACGTAATTAAATTTACGGAGGCGAGAAAATGTTTTCTGAATGCAAATACATAAACGTACACGTACACGTACACATACACGTACACGTACACGCACAATAGAGTCAAGGAGACACGTACATATCCTGATACAATTGTAATGGAGCAGGATGGCTGGGTGTGTTATCATGAAATTTTACGGTGGTATAACTGATGTAATTTAAATTGTACCCCGAGAACGAGCACACAGCGATTTCAAATTGATGACTCTTCCTTCTATCCATATCCAGGACACCCTTCCAGGGCACCCTTTTCTTGGGATAATCCGTGTAAATTAAGTTAGGTAACGTTGCACGCAGAGCTCTCATCCTCGGGATGAGCTTTGTATGCGTTTAGTCGCACGTCTCCGACTGCAACTGCAACTTTCAAAGTTAACGGATGATGAATTGTAGTTTATGGTGAGAGAGTGAAGTCAAAATCAAATATATGGGAGGGATGAGGGATTATTGCTGAGCTTTTACATTCCATTGGGAACTTTCAACGAGGGAGTAATCACTCTGGATAAGGTGGTCTGATTTTACCGGAAGATTATGAAATTTCAAGGATCAAATTCATGCAGATTACTGTATCATTCCGCCAATTTATTAAAATTCTCATTCCAATTGTACATCGGATTTTAAGGGTGATTACCTCCAACTCGAACAGAATTTAACATCGATCCAATTCCGTTTTTTACAAATGAGTGACGAATCAAAAGTTATTTTTACAAAACAATTTGTAAGTAATTCAAGAGTATTTGTGATTAGTCAATTGTAGGCATATCATTTGTGATCGATCATTTGCCATTGTCTATCACAGTTGAGTGGAGACTTGAGTTTTGTGTGTCACCGTTTGGCAGAGGAATATGGGAAGGCATTATTAACCGAAGGAGAGAGTAATTCTATTGAAGGAAGAAATTCAATTAAACCCCAACGCTTTTACTTGAATACCTGACACGTCGGACATTAAAATTGCATTATTCTATACTGCAGTGTCCGACGCGTTGTACCCAATAAATGTAATAATTTTCCTCTTCATAAACATGAAACAAAAATGAACAAAAACGGGTTGTGAGCTATTGTTTTAGCTCGTTCACGCGGTACGATAAATGGTCGACGAGCTCTTAACCAATTATCGGAATAATAGCTTGGAGGAGGGCTGCTCTTCACCTCTGAATGGGCCACCAACGAAACCTCCACGAAAACCCCATGAGTACTAGTTAACAATGTAATAAATAAGCGGATATGAGTGAAATTTGATGTATAAAATTTTTGTGAATGGCAAGTACAAGTGAAGATTAAATTTCAATACATGTTGTAAATGATACGGCCAAAAATGTTTCGAACAGGATATAAATGAGTTGGTGAAAGCATGAAAGATGGAGAGGTAATAGGAGTGGAAAAAAAAATTGGTTGTTACAAAATCGAGAGCGGAAGGCCATTAATTGAGGCTCTCGAATGACAACTGGAGGCGAACAATAAATCAATTTTTTTTGCAATTTAATTAGACATATCAACGAATAACACGTAAATCTGTTCTTCATTTCATGGTTTTCAATTTATTTCTCTCTGTTATCATATTTCACTCTTCCATTCTGACTCATGCGACAATAAGAGCTGATTTTCCACGATATTTTATCATTCCATTGTCGATTTCACTAGACTGAACATAAAGCAAATAGCCTCACCCACCACCTCGCCCCAACCCAATCCCCTCTGATTGTTCTGTAAATAGAGAGTATGAAAATATATATATAAATATAGCCCTGGGTACAAGTAAAAATAAAAAAATGAGTGACATATGTATGTAAAGGATAAAATCAATTTCCCAGCTGTCGCAGGTCATAATTTTCCGTGTAATAATGAAATGAATCAAATGTGTTTTGAAAAAACGTTGAGACTATTATTTATTCGAGGATGGGGTGAACAAAAACCCTCGTGAATTGTGTATTTTTATAATGATTTTAATCCAGCACTTGTTCATTAAAAAGAGTCCTCGGGCTCAATTATTATTGTGAATTTATTCCAATTTTATTTTCCATTGTAGATTACGCAACAGTTATTGTACGATATGCGTTATTAATTAAATAAACAAAAAAACAACCTGGTTAGAAAAAAAACATTGACTTTATTTATTTCGAGTAAAAAAAAAACTGCCTATTCATCTCATCCTGCTGTCACCTATTCTTCTGACAATGCCATCCAACATATAATTCCAGAATGGACGCAAAAAAAAAGCAGCTTCCAAGTGAAATATTGAATTCCTTGTAATGCATCATCTTAAATTCAGAGAACTTGAATTGGGTTATTGGCGTTGAGTGAAACGACGGAGAAAATCGGTAGGAATAAAATGGTAATACTGAAATGAGAGAAAACAGAGAGAATGGAGAGAAGAGACAGAAATTGGGAAGAGGAATTCAAAGTAGATTTCAGACTGGGCAGCAATGGCAAAAGATGTAAGTAAAGTGGGAGGAATTGGAACGTGGGGGAGGGAAAAAGGGGATACGAAAACTTTGGGACTTTGTCATTTTTATCGGCAGCCCGATATCCCAGGGTCTCGTGATTGGTCTCGTGAAAACTTTTCTGATCCGTCTTCCGTTACCCACGAAACTCGAAGATCTCACCTCGAGGTCTGCCCCCGAGTCTCCCTATACGTAAATCACTCCCCTTTTTTTCCATCTATAGGTACACAGCCTTATTCCCTCTTTTCCTCCCTCTCTCAAACCCCCTGCATTTATTCTTCTCGGTGTTACAGCAACCCGCGAGACATTCCCTCTCTTCTAGCCAACCCAATCGCTTTTCCAACTTTTATTCTTTCCAAATCAGACCGGAAGTTGGTTTCCCCAGGGAGATAACGCTGAAACGTAAAATCCTCGAGGTGTTTCGATACTTTCGCGAGATACACGCGTCATACGTATATGCAATTTACTTTGAGTGGTAGAGGTTTTGAAGGGGGGGGGTTAAAGTAACATTGCGGTTTGTATCGTCTGTGTGGATCTTATAATGTTTGCGCAAACTTTTACCATTCCATGTGTGTTTTTTCCCACGAGCAATAACGAAATTGTAAATCCCACGAATGGATCAAAATTGGGATTAATAACAATCATTTTTGTACGGCTTGCCGTAAAATTGTACGGATGAGAGAAATTCGTTGATTCGAAAATTGATTCATTGAGAAGGTATCTCGCACATGTAAAATTATTTTTTCCGGTTGGATTAACAATTTCAAAATTGCAACTGCTAATGGTACTCAATGCGTTTTATGATTTTTAAAAAATTACATCTCTGGCTTGAAATAATTTTTACTCAATTTTTAATGTCAATAAGTTTGTTTTATGGCCAATTATATGAGTTCTTGACGTGTCAATTGGCTTCTCTGAAGTGAAGTATATATTTTTGCAATGGAGAGCTCAATTACCATGGAGTACGTAGTTATTTCAAGAGCAAATTGAATTTTCATTGTATGTTTGGTTTTTTAGCGAATGCAAAAAGTGCATGTGAAATATTTTTCATCAAAATAATTGATTCTTCATTATTTGTCGATATTTTTCATATCTCGTGTGTAAAATAATATTCCATCACACAATTACTTGATCAGAGAAGAGAATGTGAAAATAATTAATGAAATAATTGATAATGTTTTCTCAAACTTACTGCCATAACTATTGGTTTTCTCATACAACATGAGGGGGAACTTCAGGAGTAATCAAAAACCGTGAACTTTTGGTATCAGCGGAGCAGTGGACACGCACCGCGCCTCATCCACTTGTTGCAAAACTTTGATAATAACGTTGGAGAATTAAACTAAACGCGTATCCAGGTAAAAGGCGGTGAAAGCGTTAATTATGCACCGAGCAACCCTTTCCATCCACGTACAGGAGGGCTTGTTTTTTTCATATTGCGTGGCCATTGTGCAACGAGGACTTTTCATGCCTGAAAAGTTCTCCACCTGTAAAATACATTATGTTATATTTTTATGTTTCCATTTTGTTTCCAACCTGGTGAAGCCAGGTAAAATGAGTGGAGATTTCATTCCACGGATAAAAGGGCCCTATATACACCGGCACAGTGGTCTTTCTTGTTCACATTACTGTCGAATACTTCTTGGATTTGAATTCGATCGACTAAACTCCAGACCGGAGTACCCAGGGGTACGCAAATATTGCTTCAGTTAGACACCCCTTGGTACCCTCCCACCGTCCTTTTTCTGAGGCTCTCAATCCTGTTGGCTGATCGTACACTGGGAAAGGCGTCTGCGACTTTCACATTTTCTACTTGCTATACCCCAGGATAAGCTCGTGTTTTCAATTGCATTAAAGCTGCGGGGTGGAGCAAGCTCGAGGAAAAGGATGAAGGGGAGGACCGCACCTCTGATTCTTCTTCGAGTCCGCTAGTTTCTAGAATAAATTCTCCCTCCGGGAATTAAACCGAGGGGGAATTCGGGCGAAATTATTATTGAGAAATAAAATAGTGCCTTGACATTTATTAGCCAATGTAGCATAACCAATGGAGCGGCTGGATGAGCGCCTTTTATTTTTCAAACTCTTATAAAATGGTAATCGCATTGGGGAGGATCGATGAGCATTCTTCAGTGTTTTTTTTTTTATCAAGAAGGTGGGTGATAGTGAAGTTACTTACTCCTTGTCCAAATCCCGGGGATAAATTCCCTCAAAGAGGAGATTGAAAATTTCCTGGACTGTTTCTTTCTGGATTGTGCGACGGCAAAATCTCGGGATGCAATCACTTAGTATTCCGAATTATTGCGACGTTATTTCGATATGAGTCGATAAACCGGGGTTGGAGGATTTGGAGAGAAATTGGGAATGGTGGAGTTCATTATTTGTATGGAAAATAAAATAAGTAAACACCTCGATAAATAGGTAACGGGCATGTAATACGAAATGAGGTGCATCGTCATTGCCTGTCATTCGCACAAGAGACTTCTGGAACGTGCTGGAAGGCCTGCCGATATACAAGAACTATTTTAGCCTGGGTGAGGTAAGTACTACTACGAGACTCGTTTGAGTTAACGGCCAACACGTGCTGTGTATAGAACCGACGCCAGGGGATAGCCCGCTTCGACGAGTTTAATGGTGCAGCCTGCACTAGTAGTAAAAATATGAAGCTCTACGGTGATGCTGTAAAACTGTTTTAAAGCTATACCCACCTCAGTCGCTTTTTGAGGAATCGATTTGTCTTCGTTTTCATTCTCCGATCTAACTCTGGACACTCGTTTACCTGGAGTCAGGGATTTGTCTTCGGGGAGAAAATTTAATGTCATGCTCTTTTCGTCAATTGAGTTCAATGGATTCATCAAATTTTTGTACGTGCTCGGTAAACATGCGCATGACTGGAGCATTTACATGGAGTGTGCACGTCAAGTGGAAATTTCACGTTTGGTCAGACATGCCGTAATAAAAGAAATTGGTTTGGAGAACTCGGGCTTTTCGGAGAGCTCGTAGCTCTCCTTTGAGAATTCTATTTCGTGGTTGACAATTGGTACACTTTGGTGGCGGGAATTTTAATTTTATTGCCAATTTAGGAGGCATTTTTATGTGATTTTACAGGGAAAAAAGCACGTAAAGTCTGAAGTTTTATAGGTTGAAACCGCAGTTGAATATTGATATGAGGTTGAGCGAGAGAATTTTTTTCTGAAATTAAGTAATTAGGGGAAAATCCAAAGCTGTGAAAATTTAATGGAAGAATTAACGATGAAAGCGATAGAATTTAAAGATGTTAAAATTATGAAAATTTCGAGTCTTAATACTATTGTCATTCTGCAAAAATTTATCGACGACTTTCTCGGGAAACTTTTCTCCCAACTCTTTTGCTTTCTAATATTCTCCATAAAAGTTACGAGAGATCATTACGGGTACGTATCATAACCCCCGTGATATTCAATGAACAAATTAACCATTAAATCCTGTATGACCTCCGCACGTGAGACGCGAAATGAGTCTGGCAATATAACCAGACACAAAATTTATTGATTCTGAACATAATAATCCGGCATTGGAATGGAGTAGAAACGTATTGCCTCGTTTTCAGCTAGTATCTCAAGGGGAAAAGGGGCTTTTCCACGTTGGGGTAATAAAACTCCACTTGTCGCATTGGAACAATTTTGCGATTGACTCAGGGGAGTCCAATATCCTCCTGCTTGACTGACTCAAATGTCGTCTTGATGTTGAAGCTCTAGGTTGTAGCTCTTGTTTCTTTTACTACGAAGAATTCAAAGTGTCGCAACAGCTATTTGACATTTTCTCCGAGGGTGGGATATTTCAAATTGTTCCTCTCGCGCACTTCCATCGCCATTTTTTCACCATTTCCTTTTTCCCGGCTCTGTGCGCGCTCGCAAAAACGAACTCGAAAATTTCTTCTGTATTTGGATTTATCCGTACATAAGGGTAATGTCAACTGTCGTTTTGCGATGGCATCAAAGTCGAGGAAAGGATGAGAGGGCAGTAGGCAAAAGCCAGTAGCTGAAGCTCAAGTTTACGGTGGAATGCCACCGGGGGTTTGGTCTATCTCCCTCAGCTCGTAATCCAACGGGTAAAGAATCTAAATGTATGTTGAGGCTACTGCCAACATGTTCAAGTGAAATGGTTAAAAAAAATGAGAGAGGGAAAATGTGAGGAAAAAAATGATGCACTTGTGCGGAAATCTCCGGTACTCGGGGGTGGGTTGAAAGAGTCCTGGGCTCATAATTTGTTATGCGCACATACGAACCTTTCTAATTTCATCATTTCCGTTTTACGGTTGACGTGATCGAGATGTGGAAGGGATTGAGAGACGCGCGCGACTTCTTTACCCCCCAGTAGGCCTTTGACGTCAAACGCCGTCTGAAATGTTTCACAGACTGTGAAACAACTTAAGTAAGATGACGTGCCGAGAGGCGCGACCCTCGATGCATGGTATATATTGAAAGAAATATTGGGGGAGGGTATGTACACTGTCAGAGTTGCTCAAAAGGGAGAGTCATTCATGTGGACTTCCTCGGGCTTTTTTCACATCACCATTCTATTCTACACTTTACTCGCGGATGGTGTCTGAAAATTCCTTCAATTTCTCCCCTAAACTCACATTAATTCGCAAACATCTCTCAAATATCACATTTCTATTAAAAATTTATATTTGTAAAAATTCATTTCTCATTCATATACAATTCATCAATTTTTGATAAATTTATTTGAATGAATAATTCGAATAGAAAGTGTAACTCAAATGAAGATTGAGGTCAGTTGAAAATTGTGGAGGGAAAAATGCAGTTTTTTTTTTATGAAAGATAAAATATTCACCACCCAGTGATAAATTCCGCTTTTATTTGAAACATTTTAGTGATTCCAATGGAAAAAAAAATACAAAAAATGAATGTGTGACCATAAATGACAAATTTACAACAACGATGGCCGCTCGGAGTTTTAAAATTAAACTGTGAATACTGATAATTGATACCTTCGAGGCTTGAGTATTGCGAATCGTAGTGTCTCGACGTTTCACCGGGTAAATAAAATATGTTCTTTATGATATGTATAATATAGACTCTATATCTACTCTTGTCCAACGTAAAATATAGTTCTTAGATTCATTTTAAAATAAAAAAAAAACCTTAAATTGATATGGAAGACGATAATACCAGGTTGAATAATCCTTAAGGCCTAGGGGATATCAATTTCTCTATGAGATAACGATTCTATGGCAATTTATTGGCAGTTGTGTGAATTCATCAATTCGATGAAACTCGCTAGTCTTTTGGCCCCCCTAGAGAAGAATTGAGAAGGTTGTAACTTAATGGCATTAAATAAATATCTCTAGACGTTAATGTTACAGGGTTTCAATTCCATAAATTGATACGGCACATGTAGTGTTGTGTTGTTGTGTTCTACGAGCAGATGGCCACGCCTCGGTGATGCCCCCACGACCAGAACGGTTTCTCCTTTAAGAAGAACCACTTCACCCTCACCCTCCTCTATAAATATAAAAATAAAAATAACAATGAAACCACCCAAGCCACCGAGTTACGAGACTTATTATAATCCGTAAATTTTATGCGTAGAAATTTGTCGAACCTGGAAAAGGCATTTTCATAACACGTGTCTGAGGATATCCCAATTTAGTGTTTCCAGTCACTGTGTAGGATCTGCTGGGAGGCACTGGTGGTGGTCTCTCCTGATAAATTATTTCCAGTTAATTTCTTATTGATCAAAGCTATAGGCTCTCGCTGGATGGAGGGGAAAAAATACGAGAACTTACCAAGTCCAATCCAAAGAGGGTGCAGGTCTGTTGTATCATTTTCTGATCTGCACATTTTTCAGTGGGATCTGGTGGGGGAGTGCCAGCTATTGGTTGTGGCCTGGGTCGAGTTCCGGTACCAGTTCCTCCATTTACACTTCTGGGACGAGTACCAGTGAGATTGGCTTGCTGTGGCTGTTTGGAACTGAGGGTTGAAGTCACTGGTAAAGCCCGTCGTATCGGCCATCTTTTACGCACCCTCCAGCCTCTCCAAGTGCACTGAATAATTGATAAATTGAATTGATAAAGTGAAATCAAGTACAGAAATCATATAAATTCATTGATAACGTCATAATTTTTTAGTGTGACTAATTAATAATACCAAGTACCTGAATTGCCGTGGCAGCTTTTCTTCGGGTTTCCGATCTGAGATTTTCCAACTGCTGTCGTATCCCTTCACTAAGGAAGATGTGTCGTTTACCAAGAGCCCAGCTGGTGCTAGCACCAAACTTACTCTTCACTTGTTGTGCATTTTGGAGAATAAGTTTTGTATCCTCAACAGCCTGCTCCTCAGCTCGCCTCAGCTGCTTAAACGGTGCGATTAGTCTGTATCGTGCGTTGAATGCCTTAAAACGCATCCTGTGAGGATAGCCTGTTGGAATTTTTCATTCGTTCAACTTTATCACCGAAAATGTACCAAAATGTGAATATCACTACTGAGAAGAAAAATTTCTTACCGCCCGCCATGAGATTCACCGTCTCGAGAACCTGCAGCGATCTTATTTGTCGCATTGCAACTCCTCTGTCTAGATGAAGTGGAGTTTCAGTTGCATTACTACGGATACACCTGACGAAATGTGGTCTCGCATGGACCAGAGTTCTCAATAAATTATCAAGGCGCGTGTGAAAATCCTGAGTGAGAGTGGAAATCGGTTCATCCCCATTCAAACTAAAACAAGTAATGAAAAGCAAAAAAAAAAAGTGGAGATTGAACCAACAAAAACATCAAACAAAATCCATCCAAATATGAATTACCACATGTTTACTAACAGATCTGTATGAGATGTCGGTGATATCCTGAAACTCACGCCCCTCGGCACTGTATCACTGGCATAAAGTGCTTTCAATTCACTCCCAAAGAGATGAGTGGCAAATCCAAAATTACACGTGTGCTTGTAAAACACAGCAACAAGATCGTCTGGCACTACATCCTTATTCGTGTCTGAGTAAAAGAGAAGAAAAAAGGCACCACGAAACGTGTAAAATAAATTGGTAAGAATATTTCTCTACCCCGGGTTGGAGAGAAAAAAGCCCTAAAACATCAGCTGTATACCTGTCAGTAAAGTTTCAAGTACTCACCAAGGAAATCAGAGGCATCATACGTGACTCTACCAGCAAAGTGTTGAATTCCAAAAGACCGACAGTCAAGACTTCTCGGATCAAATAATCGTGGATTCTGCTTGTGTTGCACTTTAACCTTGGCAACGTAACTCTCCGCTGTACCTCGCATTGAAGATTCAACATCAAGCATGCTCAGTAAACCCGTACGCTAATCGTTGAAAGCCAATACATTAACACTTATAGGGTCGTATTTTTTCACTCAATACTAATACATATTGACGTGTCAGTATTTCATAGCAAAGTTCATAGGCATGCAATTTAATATGTTGCCTCATTAATAACAGACTCGGCCTTTGATAAAACTCACCAAAGATGATATGAGATCGATACAGGGTACGTTGTCAACATAATCCACCTCAACATCACACCGTATACCCTCATCACGGCAGCTCTCTATGGAGCTCTTAAATATGTGGGTATTGTAAAAGTGCTGCATAGTCTCGGCACACAGATTTATGCATAAATGTTCAAGCTGACTCGGCTTTGGATCCTCAAAGCCAAACATATCGAGTATACCAATGAAGCCGTCTGTTGCGTGCCTCACGGCGTTGTTCAACGCTGTCATGCTCCTAGAGCCCGTACCACCTTTTCAAATTACGACAAATTCATATTCACTAATTCATCGCATAAATCTCCGGTATAATGTCCAGAGAGAAAAACATACCAGCTGAACTGCCAATAGTCGATGCATGCTGGCTTGTAACCTCCGCCTGATTGTGCACAGATTCGTTGGAATCAGAGGACAGTGTACCGAGTGTCGATCCAAGTCTCTTCAAACTATTGGCACGTCTCACAATGGTAGCAACTGTGCGACAATAAAGCGCCTTAGCGAGTGAATCTCTCGTCATGTTGGACTGCACACCAAAACATTGACCAGAATAATTCATCAGTCGGCGTGTAACTTACCCAGGTATATGTACCCCATACCCCATTTTTATCCTCATAAATAATGATTAATGAGCTTACCATGTTTGCATCGCAAACAGATTTCACCAGTTGTCCTCTTGCATTGTGTGTCCTTGATGTTAGACCCCTCAATAATGCAGGTGGTGGTACACCCAAAAGCGCAGCAACAGATGCCAACTCGTTCTCACCGATTACACTGACCTCCACACCGGGACCATCGGTGAAACCAACATTACCAAGAATGAGAACAGCCGCTAGAACTCGAACAACATCCAAGAAAGGTATTCCCAAGACACCTGCATTGAAAATTCAATGGGATTTCTGAATTATTCTGAGACACTTTGTGCGGGGGGGAGGGAGGGGGAGGGGGTGCTGTGGCATTGAGTGATTTAATTTTCTTCGATACCTAGGCACGCTTTCCACGATTGAAATCTCACAGCGTCCTCTGCCTCATCCTGACGGCTATCGCCCTGCTGCAGGTACCGTAAATTTTTCACATTGTATCCCTCCAGGTTGAGTTTCACTGCGCAATCACAATATATCATATTTGCATATCATCGGTAGGAATTAATGTTCGGTTTCGAGGGGGAATATTCATTTGTATCGAGGTAGGTAATTTATGGTAACGAATCTCATGAATTTTTCAAAATTAATAAGGCACATGGTTGTCCCTATACTCGTTCAGATATCACGGGCTATCGTGTTTCAATCACACATGCGACAGTTTCGTAGATCTGTCACGAGGCCAATATCATTTGATTAATTATTTTAGGCAATGAGGAAAATTGTCGACACCAATGAGGACTGATTTATGGTGAAAAGACAATGAATCAATACCTCTCTCGTCGTGCGATAGACCCGCGAGCATCTGATAGAAGATATGATAATTCTTCTCGTCCGGGAGTGGTCTGATGACCCTCGTCTGATCCAAAAAATAGCAGTGGATTTTCGTTCTGTACAAAGCACCATCGGTCACTTGGACCTCTATAAAGTGACCCTAATAAATCGAAATGACAGAGAAAAGAAAAAAATGAAACATAAGTGCGACGTGAGAGGATGAATCCAGTCAGAACCATAAAAAATAATGGGCTCACGATTCTCGAACTCTCTGAATTGGTAGCTGTCTTGGCTGATCCCAATGACCGAAGAACAGTGAAGGCAGCAGCGAGATGCTTAAATGCATCAGTCTCAGGACCACCTCCAGCGACGTCAAAGAGTTGTCTCAGCAGTAGCATCGAGGCATAAGTCTTGCCAGAGCCACTTGTACCTGCGAATCATATCACCACGAAAATCCATGATTCTTTATCTGAAGCGTTCTATCTGGTTTGAGAATGCCCACACGTGTGGAATAAGACAGGCTGTCTAGATAGTAAATGCTTCAAGGTGGCTCACCCGAGAGGATGATGGCCTGTGGGTAACCAGTCTCTGACTGTTGTCTCACGGCTTCTTGCACGACCTTGTTGAGCTGCGGTGCCAGGGGCACTGATCGTGTACTCGTCAGTGTCAATGGATTTCCAACGTCCGTATAAGGGTTGATGCTCACAAGGATTGGGCCAACATTCGTCTGAAAGCATTACCACATTACCGCATTACCCACATTACCCACATATCCACACAATTGATTGATTGATTGATTGGAGAAATTTATTCGTGTCTCATCGCATAATCAATACTCGACTATTGTTTGACTTAATAGAATTAATTTTGTGGGATTTGTGATGATGTCATCTCTTGTGAGTAGCATTTGATATAGGTGGAGGAAAGAAAGGTCAGAGATGTGATTTGATAATAAAAAAGTATTTCAATGCAGAGGCTGTGTCGAGTGCCTCGAGCGAATTCTCGGTGCCCCCAAAAACCCAATCATTCCCCTATCTTTTCATCAATGTTTTAGAGCCAAGTGTTGAGAATAAATAATACCCTCTCTTGTGCTTTGGGGAATAAAAATAAAATATTTTCGGCAGTGGAGAGATAAAAAAAAAAGTAGGAGGACGTAAATACATATCGATACAAGTGGGCGGAGAAGAAATGATCAGTGGAACGGACCAACGGCAAAGGAGAAAAAGGGGCAGGGTTGAGAAGGGCGACAGAGATGAAAACCGGTCTCTCATACACTCACCAGGTTCTTCTTTCTGGAATGGAAAAGAAATGCCTGGTAGATACACAGGGTCTTGTGAGAAAGAGTTTTGCCTCGTAAACCGATTACACACCTGCGGGCACGTACGTGGGTTACAGTATTGGAGGCTCAGAAGAGGGCGGAAAAGACTCGCCATTTCTCCAGAATCATCTGATATACCTGAAGATGATATCCCTGTATCTAGTCGACTGCGTATTGTAATTCTATTATGAGGAATCACGACAGCAACCGACAGTGGGAAGAACTATCAGAATGCTCTGGAAATTCCGTGGTTGCCCATAATTCGAGAGATACCTGACATTCGCCATGGGATCGCCAATAATTCCAGGAGAATTTCAGGTATTGGGGGGGTCCAGAGAATTAATTGTGGATGCCCAAAATTTTTGGAAATTTCAGCTCAATGGAGACGAATTTGGGTGTGAATGGAAAAAATGTAAAGTGAGGGAAATTTTTCTTCATTATTGAAATGGAGATTTTCGCGGTGAATAATGGGGCAGTCTCTCACTTGTGCATAAATATCGGCACAACGGGGTTCAATACTCGAATGTGTTGGTGCACAAGCCGAGGCTGTGGCAACGTGCAGCAACCTCGAGGCATTTCGCGTTGCTCCGTTTGCATTCTTCAGAGTCCCCAGAGTGAATACGAGCCCGGGGCACCACTATCTCTCTTGCTTCAACCTGAACCTTCCACCGAGTCTCTTTATGCACTGTTTGGCCCAATGGAAGATCACGCAAGTAGTACGCGCTTCAAACTATTCAGGTACTGTTAAACGTGTGCCAATCATAAATTATTTCAGTCCAGTGCACACAATTAGTCGTCGCCATATCTCGTCAATGGTTTTTATCCTTTTACATTATCCCGTACAAATCTTCCTTTCCTTCATTATCATTATCATTTAAGTTGCATTTTTAAAAGTTGAATGAATTCCAGACGTTAATGTCCGAAGTGAAAATTCTCCTGCATTATTATTTCCTGAATTGCACTGATATATTTCATATCAATATTTATGAAACACTTGAATAACTAATTAAATTTTTTTGCGGAATGCAATTCGAGTTACATGTTCATTCACGAACGCCCGCATCGACGGAAACGCTTTTCATTTTCAAAGAGAATTTTATTAATGTGCCTGGATTTTATTCTCATTACCTCTAATTTGGGAATGCAGAATTTCCATCAATCCGTGCATTATCCATCCATGCACAATGGAATGCAGCAAGTCATTATGGTAAATACACAATGATGAGAATATTCCATATGATGTTTGTAATTCAATTGGGTATTAAAATGAAGTGAGGTAAAAACATCGGGAAAACAGTATTTGAACTTACGTGATATTGCTTTGCGCAGAAACGTGCCTGCAGACATTTGAGGACAGCGTCCTCGGTTAGAGGTCCTGGTAAGTGAATAAGGTCCTCTAAAGTAGTTGAGTTTGTGGCAACGGTTGCCTGACTCGATGTCTTTGAAATGCATCGTTGCTGTACCTGTGAACCTTTTCCACTTTTAACATCTGCGATGATCCTGGATATGGGCGGTGACCGTAGGGCACCAAGAGCCGTTACACAGGATACTAGACCATCGTCCGAACGCTTCGGTGCATCCAGATCTATTTACAAAACCATATTGCAGACATCCAGCAAATGATCCATTGAAAAATAACGGAATTTATTCAAAAGAGGTCATGTCGACTCATTAAAATGCTCCGGCAATATTTGCACCAAATCCTTTTTATAAATGCACTCCGTAAAACTATTTTTTTTTATCAACTGGTTTTTTTCTTTGGAAACAGGAAAGAATCAATTAATCGTTCTATCACCGGGAATCAAAGAGTTTGTCTTATTTATTTAAAAAAACCTCTTCAATTTTCGTTTAGATGGTAATTAACATCGGAGTAAATACACGATTTAAATTTGACTCCTTTGAAGTTCTTTCCTTGGGCAATTTATTGAATTTTTTTGTGCCAAATTGCCATCGAATCCTCGGTTAAATAATTTCATATTTTCAATTCGGTACTACGGGGTGTTAAATATTTACGAGCGCAGTAGAATTCATGAATAATTCGAGTAAAAGGTTTGAAATTGGGTATGCGAATCAGGATTTTAACCATCGTATGTGGCAATGAGGATTAAAGAATATTGGTAGAATATGTGGATGAATATGAGGCGGAGTTCGGGGGGGAGGTGATATGCAAAGAGATAAAGGCGTTGACACACTGAAAATCGGTTGACCCCACGGATTGGTGGAATTAATCGAGGTTGAAGGTTTAATGAGACCACTAAGAGCCTTCAGGAAAATGGAGATATGGGTGTCCCATTTGGAATGTGAATCCTACCAACCAGATATTAAATTATTTGCGGTAGAATTGTGACCGAGATCATTGGTGGTGGAGTGATTGGCATGTGGATGTATAATAGCGGATGCTGTGATGCTGTGACCGGATGAGTGTCCAATTCCATGGGGCACAGTACCATTGTACCCATGTGCTGTACGTGGTGGTACTGCTGGTGCTACTGATGCGTTAGCACCCTTATCACATGCTGGTGTCAAGGTACTGTTTGCACCACTTCCACCACCACCACTCGTTGAATTATTGCCGGGTTGGCTCACGTGCAGACGATTTCTCAAGGTAACAAGCTCGGTGCTCAGACTCCGGAGACGCTGCTGCAGGTGGACAGCTTCGTTGGATGACGACGCGTCTGGAAATTGAGGAAATTAAATGGTTAGAAGTGCATTCAAGCCCTTCTGATGGTGTCATTATAAATAATATAACTCGGAAAAATTTCGCAAAATTTTTTATCATAACAGCCTCACTCTAAATTATGTACTTTTACAATTAAATATTGGATCGAATTATTGGTTAGCACACGATCGGTGGTGGTCGGTGAATGAATGAGTGAAATTTAATAGGAATGGAAATAATTAATATCAGGATAACATCGCATTTATTTTTCATTTATTTTCATCCTTTGTCACATTAATTTCTGTTCATCATTAGTTCCGGCCTGATTAGTGATAATATCTTAGCTATTCATAGAATCTAGTTTCCAACTTGTGATAGACATAGACATAGACCCCCCCTGGTTGTGCATTTCCCTTTTCAATCGATTTCAGGTACTCGTCACAGCTTTCTTCACCCAGAACTTTGGAAAATTCAATTCGGAATGAATAATTCCATGAAAATTATTGAATCATATTGATGTTCGATTGAACTTCAATCAAGTAGAGTAGAAAAATAAAATTCAATTCACTTTCGTGGGCTGTGAACAATATTCTCAATTTGAGACTCATTTTTCCTGTCGCTCGGAGATGATTCCCACTGATATCAATGGAGCAATCATGTAACCACATGTTGAATGCGTTGGAGCTTGAATCAAAAGTGGTGAACGATGTATCTGTCATCGAAATCAATATTCTCACGGTGCCCCAAGGCCTTCTAGCCCGGAGGTAAACATTGAATGATGAATCATGACGAGGTCCTCTGACAAGAGTCAGAAGTGATAAAAGCACGTAACATCTGGTTCTGAATGGATAATTCCATTCCAGACGTCTCACCTTCATCTGATTCTCTCCTTTTTCAAAACTATTTCCAGGCATTGTATGTATCCATTTAACGGTAGATACTCGAGTTGAAAAGGGGCGCTCTTGTGTTGGGCTTTTAGCATGAGGTAAAAAGAATTCCTTCAGCTACTCGTATTGCTTCAGATGTACCGAGTGTAATCACTGGGTTTCTGGCTCGATCGAGAGAATCTCGAGATCCTCTGTATCAGATATTCAGGAGGTGGGGGACATCTTTAATTACAGATGCTGCAACTGGCAATGGCGTTCGACGACTTCTGAATGTACATCCTCATCAGCGTCCATTATTATCCTACGTAATATCTTGAATAATAATAAGAGAGAAAATAAGAGAGAAAAGGGAAAAATCGCGGAATGCAGACATGAAAACAGTAAGAGCTGATAAAAGTACACGGTGTTGGGGGAATTAATGATGGGAGATGTACAGAGATACAGTGTACCACGTCCTACCGCACTCAGATAATTAAATCAGTTACAAAAATAATTTTCTCTATTTGCATGATTATTTTTGAATATTCAGCCTCTATATTTAAATTATCAAATTATTCGATTCAATTTTATTATACGCAGAGAATTTTCTTGTCCGGCAAATTCACTGGAAAGTAAATTTTCAATGGCGCTAGAATTCCTATAAAAATTGCAATATTTGTTAATAATAATTTTTTCACTGCAGCGATCGTTTTTCAAATTATTCCAGTAGTTGTGAGAGAGTTAGGAGAAAAACTGGTTTTTTTCTCTCTCTCTCTCTTCAGCCGTGGTAAAACTCCATTCGGGTTGAGACTTCAAAGTGAAGACTATCCTCAATGCATGCACATACGAATTTATGAATCAAATTGGTACTGAGTGTAATACCCAGGACGGGGGGATGTGTCTGGTACTCGTGTCGGGGGTTATTATCAGTGAGGAGAAATGCGTGAGACACGCGAGTTGTGGATAAGCAGGAGTAAATGAAGGAACATTCAGATAACAAAAACACCGGTTCATTCACGCTTTTTTGGTGATGGATCGATAACGATGGATTTCTCGGAGGCCTGAGAAGTTCTCGAAATAATTCCCGACATTCTCAAGTAGAGAAGAATTTTTCTGGTGAACAGGTGCACATTTCGATTTATATTCAGCAGAGTGAGATGTTTTTTTTTTTTGTATTTTCATCGATTCTTTCCGTTTTCCCGGATTATTTTATATTCATGACGTGAATTTTAAGCAGTGAACTTTATTTCACTGACTCTCATTCCTCTCCACTATTCGAAATTTCCTACTGAAGTTTCACGTTTTCATTGAATATTCATGTTGTATTCTTGAAGGAAACCGAAGTTGCGGTGTAGATCACAGTAAAAATATCATGTGGCTTCACATCTCATGAAGCCACTGAGGAATTCTATATTTCTTGAGTGGTTCGGAATTTCTCTAGAAAAAAATCAAGTGGCTGTGAACAGATGAAATTATTGGACTGAATTCAGTTGTATCTCTTCAACTGATGCGAGAGTTGCAATCAAATTTTCTTGCGGGATTAATTGAATTTGAGATAAAATCTATGGGAACCAATCAAATAGTCATGACATTGCGCACCTTTCATTGATAAATGTCGACGCAATTCTCAGAGACGCAGTGTCAAGGGGAGACTTTATATCGTTGCAATTCCCACCGGTGTAGTAAATGAACACCAAACAGAGATTTGGTTTGTTTGAACGATTTGTCCGTTGAGTCAGAGGGAAATAGTATGCGAACACCGAGCACTTCACGCTTCACAAGGTTTACGGGATATTTAGTGGTCCTGGGTTACTGTACCCTTACACAGACTCAAACTCGTTTGTGTTTCATAGCAATTCGCTTCACCCATAAACCGTGTGGTATAACACACGCTTGTACCCCAACGAATAATCCAAGGAGTTGTATATATGTTGCATAAAGAACGACTTGTGGACAAATGCCTCCATCGAGGTGTAAAAACTCGATATAAAAAAAGAAAACAGAAGGAAAATGGAAGAAATCGGTCATGACAATTCATGATCATTCGCCCATCCCGAGAAAAAATGTCAAATGATTCCGGTAAAGTCTCAATAATTTCGGCATCTGAGATAACAATACCGAAATGTGTCTTTCAGCAGTGAACTTCGTTGGCATATAGTGAAATTTTCCTCGGAATGCAGAGATGGAAAGCCGAAGAAATTCAACGAGACTGGTAACTATTCCCATATCGATATATATATATACATGCTGGAGGGAAGTAGAAGAGGCAAAAGCAGTACGTGCCCAAGCTCCACTGGGTTTTCTCTCGGTTTTCCCTCGCCACCCTTGGTTGCGACTGTGGAGAGGCATTTGTACCTATAAACATATGCATTAATGTGTACGTGGCAACAACTCGGTGAATATATCTCTAATCTCAGTAAAGCTACGAAGTATATGCGAGATACGGCAGATGCATCTGTAAACTCAAACGCAGAGAGGACCACTGCACGCTGCACGAATTTATCCAGCGAGACAAGATCCAGAGGCTGCATGTCCCTCAGATACTCATGTATTCTACGAATTTATGTAATCCCCCCTTTCCTCGCAATAAGTGGAATTTTCGACTAATTCGAGATTTGTTAATATAACGAAATGCCTCGGAAAATATACGAGCTCTTGGGATTAAGCCGGCCTTTGTGCTTCTGCTCGAATGTCCGGGTAAATGTACTACCGTGGCTACTGCCATTTCAATACCACGTTTGGAGATCCTTGCTCGGTATGATACTCGTAAAGAGGATATTTTGGGGGAGTGGGCTTTAGTGTGATAAGTAATATGCCACGGTTTTACTCGAGATAGAACACGTTTTTGAATGAATTTTCCATAGACACTGGCTCTTCCCGCTCTTTCAGGGGTTATTGGCGGTGATAAAGTTGCTTGGTCTCTCGTTTGAAATTAAATAGACTAATTCAGAGGACAATGCATGTAAACTTCGTGATGGGGGTGTGGGTGACTCAACGATGAAACGAAAAGTTAGGACAACAGATGTTATGAAACCTAATAAAGCTGCTGGTGCAGTCAACAATTCAATAACATGCTGAAGGGAGTCATTATTGTTGTAATGCTTGTCATGTGGATTTGTGGGAGATGAAGACCTGGAGAGTTTATGGGGTATGATGGAATATAAATGTTGCCTCTAGCCGAATTTTCAATGTTGGTTAACTACGGGCTATTTCAGACTCGAGGCATCTCCGAGTTCTATCGTTTTTGTTGATGATTCTACTCGTGAAAATTCGATTCTCATTTTTTCGCAATTATCATCGATTATTGTGATTTATATCACATGATGTTTAAACAGGGGATATACGGATTCTATTATGTTTGGGAAATATTCTGGTCGGATTTGTACAGAATATGAAATACTCGACAGCGGATATTAGGTAAGAGTTCCGATTTCGATTAATTCGTGATTTACCGGAAATGCTTGTGCCTCGTCTAAGGGATTATCGATCAACGCAGGACTAAGTTGAAAACTCAATTTTCAGGTCTGAATAATGTTCGTGGTTGTATATTCCAGGGCGACATTACCAGTAACATGATGAAGGGATTTCCAGTCTGTGTCGTATGCAAATTGAAGAATTATGGTATCAACGGTATTGCCATCGGTGTTCGCGTGTGCTTATCATTGAAAATTGGGGGAGAGATAGTCAGATCATCTATCAAAGTTTACCGGAAAATTGTTCCATAAATGTACGGTACGAAGATATTTCGGTATTATTATCATTTGAACGGGCGGTTCATGCGATTTAATTTTCACAATCGATGGTATTTTCCACTCGTTGTTACAATAACTAGCTGTCCAAACAATAATATTTAAAACGGCACACGCGACAGATCTCACTAATTGGAACCATCCAGTTCCAACTCTGTTTTATTTTAGATAAAAGAGCTATCAATCCAACCATTTGAATTTATGTATGGAAAAGTCAATCGAGTTCCGAGATGACAGGTCAGATTGATATAATTTATAATGAAAAACTACGGCGCACTGTTAGAATAAAATTAGAATTTCGTGGAGAGGTTAAGAGTAATTAGAAGGAGAGGCATGTTGAATTGAATCCGGCAAGAAAAAAAATTCAAGTTTCATTAAAATTTAAAAGCACTTGAACATTTTCAAATGGCGGACAGAGTTAAACTCGAACAGACTAGGAGTCCGCCATTTTTAAAAAAAATTTTCCACTGCTTTTTATTTCGGTGTACGGAACTGTAATTTTTATTGAATATTTCTCTCTATCTGGGAACTATCCAGCAAAAAATATCGATAAATGGAGCAGTGATTTTCGAATAAGACGCTTCGTTCCATAATAATTTGGCAAATGGCTCAACGATGAGGTACTTGACAACAGTTCCAGCCAGACAGATATAAACGCCCTAAATATTTGTCTATCTCACCGGATTGTTTGATCCTGGTGAAGTGAAGGACCCGTTGGTTGAGTCTATGGTAACCAAGATGGAAGAGGCATCCGGTCAAGAGGAGGGATAAGAATTAAGAGTGGTTGAACGATAGAGAAGGATAGATTCGGTCTCAGGTAGTCAAACCGAAGAGGATCCGCGCAAGAGACGGGATGAGGAAGGGATAGTGGGAGAATAAAACAAAAATAAAAAATGAAACTTGTCTGGTGGCTGGAGAGAGGTCCAGAGGATATCTCTCGTGTCTGCTTAGAACCTATTGCAATAGCGTAGGAAGTTGGCATCGTAACGGTTACACTGTACTTTTACGATTCCCTGGTGAGTGTATGACTTGAGGTACTGATAGATCATTTGCCTCAGTCATTACTTTGCTCCCAGTATTTTAAAGGTACGCTCCCCATAAAAATCAACATCTTCAAAGTCTTCACCAAATCCAAAACCAGAAATTTATTCAAGTATTTGCCAACTGATAAAAACAAAAAGAAATTGATTCCATCAAATTGTTAATTAGAATTTTCTTTTTTTTTTTATTTTTAATTAGAGAATTCTGATAAATTTTTTTATACTTAAGTTTTTAGGTTGATAATACCTTGAAGTTTTTTCTCAGTCTCCCAGAACTTCTGGAGCTCTGTGAAGTACTTGTCCAATATAAAAACCTTGGAGAGGCCTAGGGTGGCCATCTCAGGCAATCGGCTCTCCAATTCCCCCAGAATTATCACTATTCCCTGGTCCCCACTGTTCCTCCCTGAATCATTGAATTTTTCCCACCCCCCGAATCATCAAGCCCGCCCCTTCAACCGTACAATCATCACCGCACTCGCACATTTTTACCCCCGCGACAAAGATCTTTCTCTAATTATCGCAACAATAACGACAAATGATCTCACAAAAACGCGTTATTTGAGTTAAAAATGACACAACTTGTGGAATATCTCTTGATAAAAATGTAATCGTTTTACTCAGAACAAATGACCACAAGGCACGATATCAAGTACTTTCTCGAGCCAACCACGGTACCCAAAACCCTTGCGAAATCCTTCTCCTCCAGGCTCACAGCTCTCGGGCTCGCGTTACAATCCTTCACCATAAAACACTCTGTTTTCACCCAAAGTCCATTAAATTCGCCTGTATAAATCCCAAAACTTCTCTCAAACACCACCAAACAGTTTTCAATACTCCTGTTAAATCTCTATAAAGAACATTGAACGCTATTTCCTCCGCACATTTTCTTTTTTCCACCACAAATAAATAAATAAAAATAAGAAAAGGATTTATGGAGTTCTCTGGAACACCGCCACTGAAACTTCGTCGTCCAGTTTCAAAAAGCCCGATTAAATGGTGTGCAATCACTCAGAAAAAATACAAACAGGATAAAAAGTTAAAAAAAAAAACTATAACCATGTAAATAAAACCCTCACAACCGCGGTGAGTGCGAGAGCAGTCGCGTTCAACTGGGCGTCATTGTTGGCCGTAACCCACCGGTTAAACTGAGGGCCCGATCTCTTCTACACTTCGTTAATGCTAACTCAGAGGAAATCATAGCGTCAGGTGCCCCATGAAACACGTGGAGTGAGAGAGATATGAGTTAGCAGGAATGGACTGTACGGGCCCCGGGGCCCACGGACCCCTCGAGAGTTTTCGGAGGACGGGAGAGGGGAGTCGGGCAAGGCACGAGTGTTTCTCGGTGGCTTCAGATACTCTGGGTGAAAAATTCTGGTACCCATAGACTATATTGAGGCATCTTGTAAATATGCGGTGGAGATGATCCGCTGTGCATACTAAATTCCAGTCTTTTAATTCCTCAAAATTCCTGGCTCGCTCGAATAGGGATTTTTTTTCCTTTAGAAAATCAAAATATTGTACAAAAGTTCCGACAACTGTACGTTCATTATTCTCGACTCTTTGACATTGCACAATAAAATATCCTCAATAATAATATATTATATTGTATGACGATGTCACAGCTGATGACGTCGCCATCTTGAAGACCATTCGTGTCTCGGAAGCACCCCAGCAAAATGGCAGCGGACGTATCTGTCTTCCATCTCCCATTTTTGGACATTCATTAAAATTGTTCAATCTCTTCAAATGACTCCGTACTGCCTCCATCCTGTTTCTATGAAGTGAACGAATTTCTCAAGCGATTTTTTCAAAAATTCTATCACTTTTTGGCTGAAAATTGGCGAAGCAGAGTTTCCTCCGCATTCCTACGTTTTTCCACTCTCGAGACGGCTTGAGATGCACCATATCCTGGACTCAAATTCTCCAGCACGAAACCGCCAATATGGCTGTGTGGTGCGCGGTAAACAATACCCATAGCTTCATCTCTCTCAGCTGCAGCTTCCCATTAGCCCGCGGTCTTGAGTGCCCCTTTTCCCCTCATCACCAGGGGGCCCTTGGGACCCCTTTTCTCACTGGAGGACTAAACGACACCAGGGAACATGTACGAGTCCTGTTCGCGTGTGCGGAGGTGGAAAAGAGATTGCTCTTCAAGAGGAAGAAGAGGGTTGGAGAAGTGAGGAGACTACCCCCACACTTTTACGAGGCCGACGACCACTCTAGCCTCTTCCACTGTTGTTTTCCCTCCTCCTAAGTCCCCTCCCCTCTCTTCGTCCGTCCACCGCTGTCTGTACTTGACTGTACAGATCAACTTTATATTTACCTTGAGTATTACTCTTTCGGATAAAAATGGACTTTTTAAATTCAAGATTGACTCGAGTCAACAAAATCTCCAATGATCTTCTCCAAGCAAATGCAATTCTCCATGATTCCTTAACGATTTTAAAATTGTATGAAGGCCAGGTGATAGAACTGGATAATTGATGGATTTTTGGGGGAGAGGGTGCGTTAAAATCCTTCAGTAAATTTTAAATCATTTAATCGCTCTCGATGAGAATGAGAAAGAGATGAATGGAAAACCTGGAGAAGAGTTAACCTGCGTGATTTCGAGGCACTCGGAAAACCGGTTTCTATTGAGAATCAGGATGCTAGCGAGACATTGGCGTGGGGCATCACCAACGTGCCCTGGGCCTGAATCGCAACTTGAGGGCCTGAATCGGTAAAACAGAAAATTGAGATAAAGAAGCGGCCGAGGGAGCGATCCCTCGAACATTGGTATCTTATCGATCATCGGATTTTAACCCGAGGGTGAGCGATCGATCAATCCGATCGCCGATCAATTCGCGGAATATAATCGAGAGGGAGTTCCGGGAAATTTAATTGCGAGAGGATCTATTATTGGAAGAGTGAATTTTTTTTTCACGAGGGGTCGTCAAATTGTCAATTACGAGGGGTGCAATGAAAAAGAATGCATGGGGTGTTAATGAAATTGTTCAGTTGGTTAAAAAATTTGAATTTCAACGACGAGCTGAAGCTTTTTTACGATCCACTCGAAATTTAGTGACACAACCCTTCGAAATTCTGCAGTGTACATGGAGAATTGAATGAAAAACATTGTTTTGTAATCGGTGCGTGCGAGAGAATATTCCATCTGCCTTTTTTTTTTAATCAATTTTTTTTGTTTCATGCAAAATGGCATTTGCGATTCGAGTCGCGCTTGGACAAACGGGGAAATCAGAAAAATTGGACGGAGGCGAAAACCGGTGGGGGATACAAAAACGAATCGGGTCCTGAATGTCGGGGAAGTGAGTGATGGCCATGGCAAGCTGTCCCAAGGACCCAGGTTCACTCAGCGAAATTCATGTGGACCTTTATCTTGTCCAATCCCGCTGAGAGAATTGGAGCCGTGTCGGTGATTTCAAACGGAAATACAAGGTAATGCAGGTATCGCTTGAAAATCGGCATGATGAATGAATTTCGTATGAGTAAAAAAAAAAATTAGGAGAAAAACACTTTTCAAACAGCAACTAACAATTCTGTCAATTTATCAACGCGTAATGCATACATATCTTGACATTTCAACCAGTGTTGAAAGCGCCATAAAGCCCCCGACAGGCTCGTAAAATTTCCTGTCGTTGCCTCCGCACAGGCACAACTTCCGCACTATAAAAATGATCACGGGTATAACAAAAAACAAGTGGAAGGGAGAAGAAAAAGTAAATGTGCAGAGAAATACATTTTCATCCTCGCTTTTCAATTTTCCTAAAAGCGCCCAGTGCCCCATGTACAGACATTTTACCCTAACCCTCCCTTCGCCCCCTCGTCTTTACATTTTTTCACACTGGTGTATGCTGCACCCCATCGTAAACAATAATTCATTCAATCGTAAGTAGACGACGCATAAACCGAGTTATTACAGCGAATAAATCATTCCGAATATTCCATAAATACAGGAGAGAACTCCATACAAAAATCATGAATAGAAAAAAAAAAGACGTTTACCTATGAATAATATTACTCGGTGATTGGGAATTCAGGATATGTGCACCTGTGAGCAAAAATCCCAGTGGACATGGAGAATGTGGGGCGATTCGGTGGGATTCTATCCAGTGGATTCTTCTCGATATTTTGAGTCTCGAGTTATTCGGTAACTTCGCTTGAAACTCACGACTGCACCCCAAACTTCCCCTCACCCCCTCGATTTCGATGTGGACACTTTTTTCTTGTCGTCAGGATGTGGAGATGCTTGTGTACAGGACAGAGAATCGAATCCCCCAACACAACACATCCTCAATGTGATGAATTCCTTCATTTCTCGTATCTCGTCGAGCTCTTCTTGCCTTTCTTCTTCGCCCGACACAATGAAAAGATGAGATGTATGAAATTTTTTTCATACCTTTTTTCTCCTTTTTCATCGCTTCATGGCTCTTTTATCGCTCTATTTTCATCGGCAATCGTTACTAAGGGATTCAGCATAATCGAAAATTATTATAAAAATAGTGTTGGAAGTGAAATGTCTGTCGATATTCCGGTTATTTCAGGGAAGATCTAAAATTCTATATTTATCCGGAATATGCACGTAATTCCAAAATTATCGTATTCCCATAAATTATTCAATTTTTACATTAATCTGATCAGTTCGACAAGTTCTTCAATCGATTATCTCTAATCTTCGGATTAAAATTTAATAATCATACGAGCGCCGAGGAAATTCAATTATTTTATTAATATGAGAAATTCTCAGATTTTAATAGATTGTACGCTATGATATCTGCAACAGATAAAAAATTATTTCTCCCTCAAGAATCACATGCTGAAAAATCTCCAAAAAATTTCGGTTGAAACTTGAAAAAAGAAAAAAATAAAATTTCATTGCTACCTGACTTCAGAGAGAATCCTTGAAGAAATCCTTTTTATTCACCAACTCCACCAATAATATTACATAAAAACCAAAAAAAGTATTTTTCATGATAAATCTATTCTCAAGCTATTATCTTAATTTTATATAAAATTGAATAATTAAATGAATGAACCAGCCTGCGCGTGCTATCAACGGAAATAAAAAGAATGGAGAAAAATAAAAATTGAAGATAAAGAGAAATAAAAAGTTGGTTTTCTGAACTCTTGTATTTGTACCAGGAGTAACACCGAATGATCGATATCCGTGATAAGAGACGTCGGATCTCGTTACACTTCCCATCAGTTTTATATACCACTGGATGCGCATCGATTCGTGTATCCATCTGACTCCCAATATATCTACATTGCCCCCCCATCTACCAGAAGGACACTAATGCGGAATCATTTTGCTCGTCGTGGTCTAATCGAGCGTTCAAATTATATCGGCACGTTTCGCTTTAACCGGATTTTCCGGCTTCCACCATAACGAATGACGAATCGATTTTCATACCCATCCAATATTCATTTCAAATATCATTTAATCTGCTATCCGATTTATCTAATTTTGCATGTATTTACTTAGGGTAATTACCAATTTTCATGATTTCCATTAAGATAGTTGGATTATCCCCTGAAATTGAAGAATTAGTCAAGTCTCTGTAAAACCGTCAGGGATCTAGTCAAATTCAAATTTTAAATCATTATTGATCTTTAGATAAAAATATTCAATAAAAAAATGAACTAGGTCTATTTTTCAGTAATTGTTACTGAATATCTCTGTTAGTTGGTACTTCGAGTATCAATTTGGGTTGAAATACCGAATTATTAAAAACCAACTGTGAAGATGATTATATAATACAGACTAATAATGAACGAATCCGACACTCCCGATTTCTGTAATTGTCAAAGCAATTGGAACCAGTCGGAATGTGATCTAATAATTAATACTCGTCTGAAATTCAATGTTTAACCATCTATACCTAAAAAATTCGCTTTGATACTATTTAAATCATCATACATATGTACATTTTTTATTTAATTCAAGCATTTCCGAAATATTGATGTTTTTTGTATTGAATCTGCAAATTTTAGACATGGCAAGCCCCACCAGATGAATACAACCTAATCAAAGATGTTGATTAAAGCCTAATTAAACAAGTAATTAAAG